TAGTCTTAGTAGTCGTCTTAGTCGACATCTGCTTCGCATTCTTCTTCGTCTTCGTATGATGCTTATTCGTCGTCGTAATATTCGTCGTCGTAGTTTGATTAGTCGTATTATCCTTCGTCGTTGTATTAGTAGTATTCTTAGTATTCGTATTATTATTTGGTATTGTTAGTCTTCTTTGTCTGATTATTCGGAGTCGGCTTCTTATTCTTATTCTTATTATTAGTAAACCTATCATTAGTGATCTTCCTCGGCGGCTTCGTCGTCTTATTCGTCTTATGAATATTATTATTATTCGGAGTTTTTGTATTCGTGTTATTAGTATGCTTCGTCGTCTTCTTAGTCTTATTAATATTATGATTCGTATCCGTAGTAGTAGTAGTCTTAGCATTAGTATTATTATTCGTCTTCTTCTTATGAATAGTCTTCTTTTTCGTCGTATTATTATGAGCCGTCGTCATAGTGTTATTATTATTCGTCTTCTTCTTATTATGATGCTTCTTCTTATTATTCTTATGATTAGTATTATTCATATTATTATTAAGAGTATTAGTCGCCTCTTTATTATTATGATGCTTAGTATTATTATGATTCGTCTTCTGCGTCTGCTTAGTATTCGTGTTATTCGTATTAGTCTGTTTCATATCAGCTGTTTCTTATTATTCTTCGTAATAATATTACTATTATCATTATTCCTCTTCCTCTTCCTCTTCCTCTTCCTCCTCCTCATCCTCCTCCTCCTCCTCCTCATCCTCCTCATCCCTCCCTCCTCATCGTCCCCCTGACCTCCTCCTCTTCCTCCTCCTCCTCCTCCTCCTCATCCTCCTCCACCTCCTCCTCCTCCCACTCCTTCTCCCACTCCTCCTCCTCCTCCTCCTCCTCCTCCGCCTCCTCCTCCTCCTCCTCCCCTTCCTCCTCCTCCTCCTCCTCTTTCCTCCTCCTCCTCCGCCTCCCCCCCCCCCTCCTCCTCCCTCCTCATCCTCCTCCTCCTCTCTCCTCTCCTCCCCTCTCCTCCTCCTCTCCTCCTTCCTCCTCCTCCTCCCCTCCTCCCCTCCTCTCCTCCTCCTCTCCTCTCTCCTCCTTCCTCTCCTCCTCCTCTCCTCCTCCTCCTCCTCTCCTCCTCCTCCTCCTCCTCCTCCTCCTCCTCCTCCTCCTCCTCCTCCTCCTCTCCTCCTCCTCCTCCTCCTCCTCCTCTCCTCCTCATCCTCCTCCTCCCTCCTCTCCTCCTCCTCCTCCTCCTCCTCCTCTCCTCTCCTCCTCCTCACTCCTCCTCCTCCTCCTCCTCCTCCTCCTCCTCCTCCTCCTCCTCCTCTCCTCCCCTCCTCCCCTCCTCCACTCCTTCTCCCACTCCTCCTCCTCTTCCTCCTCCTTCTCCCCTCCTCCTCCTCCTCCCTCCTCCTCCTCCTCCTCCTCTCCTCCTCTCCTCCTCCTCCTCCTCCTCCTCCCCCTCCTCCTCCTCTTCCTCCTCCTCCTCCTTTCCTCCTCTCCTCCTCCTGACCCTCTCCTCCTGCTCCTCCTCCTCCTGCTCCTCCCTCCTCTCCTCCTCCCCTCCTCCTCCCCCTCCTCCCCCTCTCCTCCCCTTCTCCTCCTCCTCCTCCTGCTCATCCTCCTCCTCCTCCTCCTCCTCCTCCTCCTCCTCTGAAACACTGTAACACTGAAACACTGAAGAGATGAAGTCGTGCAAGCACAAGTGATAGCATCGCCGTTGAAAGGCGGCATCGCTCCCCCCCCTCTATTTACCCCACCCCCCGAGTCACCGTCGTGTTCGCTCGGCCAGCGGGCCGAGCAGCTCCGTGCAGGCATTCGGAGGTGAGGAGGAGAGACGGCGGCAACAAGACTCGGCCCGTCCAGACCGATACTCTGCAGAACCGATACATATAGAGCTGGAGCATACATTCGCTCTTGCCCGAGGGATCAACTCCGCAAGACATCGCAAGGGATTGACCAGGCAAGGGGTGAGGAAGAATCCTCGTTTCAAGTGCAACCGCCTCCGGCGGATGCAACTGATGCTCACACCAGAACAGGAAATTGCTCTGAGCACGCAGCCTGCGCAGAACTGACAATGGCGCAAACGCTCGGTTGGCATCGGCCAGCCCTACGCCTTATTGCGGTGTCACCGGTTCTGGCATGATTGTGATTCCCTCTCTCCGCACAGGGGGGGGGGGGGGACAAAAAGGGGGAGACCCCCTGTGTGCCCCAACCCCCTATCCGATGCGGACCTATCTTCTCCGAGTTATGTACGGTTGTCGTGAAAATGCCATTCAGCAGGAAGCGTACCTGACTCCCTGCTGAACAACTTCCCACCGCATCCTGCCCGCACATCCCTGCCCCCAAACCTGCAATCAACAAACTGCTGAAAAGACAGCAGCGTTGGAGGAGACAGGAGAGGGAGGAAGGGAGGATGAATGTGAGGGGGCAAGAGGTGAGGAAGAAATCGCATTTCAAGTGCAAATGCCTCCGGCGAGTGCACACCCCACATTAAACAGGCATGGGGTTGACGAAACGCTGGAGGGGTTTGGTGGCTGGGATCTCCCCCTTTCTGAGTTTCCTCAACTCTGAGGAAACTTCGCAACGGCACCTCTTGTGAATTCTACGACTCTTGGAGGCCGCAGTAAAAAGCCCCACAACTCATGCAGAATAGGATGGGCAGCTTCGGCCCCGCAATCCATCCGATGTGGAGCTTGTGCCCAAGCCCTGGGGCCGCCAGGAGGGCATCCTGAATGTGGGGCGCCATATCTTTACAAGGCACTCTGGTGCCAGGGCCTACCCTGCGAAGGCGAGTCGTACATCGGAAGCCCCCTCCTATCCACACCGGTGTGGGAGACTATAAATGGGTGCTCCGTCCTGTCCGGCTGTCTGGGCTCCGCCTCCGGCCACATATCTGTGGCCCGTGGCCACTCGCCCAGGATTTTGCCTACACCGTGCAACAGTCTAGTATACGCCTTGATTGCTTCGATTTGATAGTCGGCCTCCTGTAATGAAAGGGCGTGGCTGCGCGCCGCTTCACCAGCATGCCAATCGGCAACCCCTTAAAAAATTGCCAAATCAAAATGCTCCACCTGGGCCCGTTCACGATGTGCCTTTGTCTTCTGGAGAGATGTCCACCTGTCACCAGGTAGATGCTGCCCAATTGATCTCCAGAACTCCCCATAGTAACAGCTGCCTGCAAGGACCGCGCCTGGGGAACGGATACCTTCAGGAGGGCTGCACAATCGACTACGAAGGGAGCTGACCTGGGGTGTCGGGAATCTATGTGCCCGATGGCCAATCCCGCATTGTCTGCATGGGCAGGGGGTTGGTGAAAGACTGCAGGCAGCGGTGACCTCACCGCGAGCAACAAATTGCCTCTGGCATCGAGTTGTACTGCGGATAATCCTGCCCTGCTGATTTTGGGGTGGTCTGGGTCGATTGTGGACCCGTCCATGAAAAAGATGGATGTCTGGATCAAAAGCCCCTTCATCACACAATCCATTACGATCTATTCATACAATTTCCCAATCCTGGATTGGCTGTGGTACGTCCGGTTTCGCTGCCCAGAGTCTGTGGTATAAGGGATGGAAGCCTTCCAAATCGAGAACTTCAACCAAAATGTGATGGAACAAATCTTCTCTGATCCGTCTTCCATGCGGGCACGTCCAGATCCGGTGCTGGCATGTGTCAGGTTGCCCGCAGTAAGGCCATAAGCCTACGCCACTGTAGCCCCATGCTTTCAGCTTCTCTCCTGTGACCGACGCGTCGCAAACGATGTTCCTGACGAGCTGCTGCTCCCTGTGGCTCAGGTCCGCATGCTGGAGTTGCTTCTGGAAGAGCTCCCACCACAGACCTGCCGAGTAAATCCCAGAATCTTCTGGCACCTTGGTTTTAACATAAGCCCGAATGAAGGAATCCTTGTACTGCTTGAGGAATTCCGTGCCGACTCTCCTTGGGAACACCTCCAGCATGTTCCATTCCCTCTCATTCCTGTCAACGATGTGCGTGGCATTGCAGAACTTCCAAACGACCCTATCACACCACTAGAGTAATGAAGTCATGGGCCCCCTGGCTTTTCCTAACCATGTCTTCTTGCAGCTACTGCTTAAATCTGCAACTGCATGCTCATAAGCATCCCTGAGTTCCTTGATGCTCCATCTGTCTGCATGGACGGGGAGCTCTTTTCTCGTGGAGCTTGCTTGCCACCACTCGTTGGCGTAGCTTTCCAAGCCCGCTGCGGCCCAAACGATGGGATCTTTGTCCTTCAAGGTTCCCCACCATAAGTCGGACTTGGCTGCTCTCACTCTGGAACTCGACGCCGAGCTCCCGAGGAGTCTGAGTTTCTCGATTTCTTTGTGCGTAAACCCTTGGCACCATGCTCCGTGTTCCATCACGGACTTCGCTCCCACTGCAAAGAAACGACTTTTATGCAACTTGGCCTTGGTACCTGGGAGCGCCTTGATTTTGCGATGACTGGAGGACAATTCTAACCACCTCTTCCTCCTAGTCTCCCTGGCTCCTCTATATCGCTGCCACAAGTATCATAAATGCCGAGGTTTGCCGTGGCAGCGCTAGCTGTTCCTGCCAACTTTCCTAATCTGGCTGCCGCCTTGTCCACCAGCCTGGAAGAGCTCCCAATGATGCAGAGCTTCGGAATAGCAAGAGAAAGGTTAAGCTGTCCTAACGCCTTGTGGATCACCACTGCAAACTCGACCATGTGCTCGACGACCATGGTCATTGAAGGCCCCCAGGCAGATAGCGTGAGATCATCGATGTGAACTATGCTCCCCGATTCTTCTACCATGCCTTCAGACTGCTCCAAAACTGGCATCAAATAGCCTTTGGCTTCATATTTCGCACTGGAGACACCCGCTGTTATCCCTCTTCGTGGGTTCTTGCAGGCCGAAACGCCTCCTCCCCCTCCTCCTCCTCCTCCTCCTCCTCCTCCTCCTCCTCCTCCTCCTCCTCCTCCGCCTCCTCCTCCGCCTCCTCCCCTCCGACCGACCGCGCGCGCACCGCAGGCGCGCGAGGGGCGCGCCGTGGCTGAGGCATGCCACCGTGCCCGGGGCCAGGAGGCATCGCGCCAGGGTAGCTGTAGGCGGGGTCGGGCACCTCGGAGAAGAGGGGGGAGGGTTGAGGGATGGAAAAACGACCCTACCCCGGGTTACAAGTGCGTGGTCTGTAAACCTCCTGGGAGCCCCCAAAGCCTAGAGCCGCCAGGACGCGGCACATCACGCAAGGTTTAACCTGTCAGCCCACAGGAGTTTCAGCGCACAGCGCCTCGTAAACCAGGGTAGGGGCGTTGTTTTTGCTCTTGAGAGGAGGGGAGGAGGATCGCGCGGGGTCTTTGGGTGACCCAAAAGAGAGTCCAGCTGCAAGGGGGTGGTGCAATAGATTTGGGGCAACTGTCTTGCAAATGTACTGCGCCAGAAGATTGTACTGCATCGTAGCGCAACTGATGCGTTGCACGCGAGAGTCCAGCAATACATCTGCGCCCCGGAATGTATTGCACGACCCAATTGCACTGCAACCCCGCAAATCTATTGCACCAAACCTATTGCACCAACCCCCTTGTCGCTGGACCCCTTTTGTGTCAACCCAAGAGAAAAAGGGGAAGGGGGGAAAAGGATCGCTCGGGGTCGCCGAACGCGTCTGGCAGCATCCGAGGAGGAGGAGGAGGAGGAGGACCAGGGCAAACCCACGACTCATCAACAATGATGGACTGGACCATCCCCCCAAGCTCCCTCTTCACGGGCCCCTACGAGGATTCATTTCCACTGAGGAAACGGGCCCCATTGGGAGGCAGTCAGTTGAAGGTCCGGAAGCGTGCCAAAACACCACTCGCGGGACTCCAACGCCACGTTTTGACGATCCTGAATCGTGCAATAACACCATTCCTGGGACTTCAGCACCGCGAATCAACGCAACTGTTGCACTCTGACGTTCCAAAATCGCTCCGAAACATATCTGAGACGTTGACCATGGAACCCGTGAAACTCTTGCAAATGTGCAAAGCGAATGCGCGCGGGGGGCTAAGGCGAGAGCCAAATTGCGAAAAGGACCAGCCATCAATCCATGAATCTCTTGCAACGTTTAAAGCGATTGTGCGCGGCGTTCAGGCGAGAGCCATTACCTGTACATATATATATATATGTATAAACACCAAAAAATAATGAAATTTGTGTAGATGCTTGAGACAGATGTGCGCGGCGCTAAGGCGAGAGCCACATGTTAAAAACGGCCTGCCCTCAATCGCGAAACCCATGCAAATTCTTGGGACGAAAGTGTCCAGCGCTAAGACGAGAGCCACATGTTGAAAACGGCCCGCCCTTAATCCGTGCAACGTTTTAAAACGAAAAACGCGGCGCCAAGGCGAGAGACACATTTCGAAAACCACCCGCCCTCCATATGTGAAACTGTTGCCACTCTTAGGCTTCGCGATCATTCATGGCAAGGAAGTCTCAAGCGTAACGCCCGGCCCGCCCTTCCGACTGGCTTCGGGGTGCGACAGGTAAGCGCTACTTAGAAGAAACAGGAATGAGGGAGAGGGAGGGGGGAGAGAGGATGGGGAGAAGGGAGAGGGGACGTGGATCGAAGGCCGCCCCCGACCTCCGCCCCCCCCTTCACCTTTCCTCCGTCCCAGCCCTCCATCCCCATGTCCCCCCCTCTCCGGCTCCTCCTTCCCCGCCGCCCCCTCCTCCTCACCGTCGCCCCCCTCCTCCTCGGAAGGGGAGGCATATAAGGCCGGCTGGGAGGCCCCTTTGGGGCCGGCAGGAGCTCCCGAAATCGCCGAGTCCTATCCCCTGCTCGTGCAGGACGGGCGCTTCCAGCACCGCTTCTTCCTACCAGCCTGACACACATCCCCCTCCCCGACAGTGGCATCGCTTCATCGCGCTGCCGACCGTGAGGATTACTTACCTGAGCGTCCGAGGCCACTCTCCCAAGATTGTGGTCGCGTTGGGCTCGCCAATCTTCGGCATGGGGGATTCAAGGGGCCTAAGGATACACACATAATTATCCCAGTGCGACTCTACCGAGGAGTTGGAGCATTTAGGAAAGCAACATCTTCTTCTACACCGAGAGCTACATTTACATATACACCTGCATCTACATCTACATCAACATCAACTCCTGCAAGTGCTGCAGGCTGTTCAGCACTGCTTGCACTAGGTTCAACACTGCTCGCGGCTCATGCAAGAGCTGCAGGCTGTTCAGCACTGCTCGCGGCTCCTGCAAGAGCTGCAGGCTGTTCAGCACTGCTTGCAAGAGCTGCAGGCTGTTCAGCACTGCTCGCGGCTCCTGCAAGAGCTGCAGGCTGTTCAGCACTGCAGGTCCGGCTTTGCGTTGCTTGTGCTTTGCCTTGATGTTGCTGCTGTTGATTTGCCTATGCTTTGCTGCTATGCTATGCTATGATATGCTGCACTATGCTATGCTATGCTCTGCTATGTTTTGCTACGCCGCGCTATGCTATGCTCTGCTATGCTATGCTAGGGTACGCTCGGTTGCGCTGTGTTATGCTAGGCTATGGTATGC